GTGTGTGTGTGTGTGTGGTTTATGGGTAGTGCCTCTCAACCTACGATTGACGGGTTACCTAGCCTTTGAGGGTTGACAGCTCGGGCAAAATGCAAAGCTGCGTGCTACCCTTCTGGGCCTCGGGATTATAAGCGTCTGAAATGCCATGATCAGCGAATCATGGCCCTTGCGTCCTGGTGTGCGCTGGCAGTCCTCTGGCATCTGGCACCCTATCGATATATGTCCTTCTGTTCCCTCTGGATATACAGGTCGTGTGCATGGTTGCCCAATCACCTTCCCCTTCCTGATCCGTTGTGGTGCTCTTGTTGGTCAAGATTCTGGTCAGGTGTTTGTTGTGGACCGAGGGGGTGTGGAGTAGGCGTCAAGGGGCGGGTTCAGCCGCGATATCCACCTACGTCCTCACGGCCTCAGATCTTCTTGACTGTCTTGGCACCCGGTCCAGGAGGGGAGGAGAGAGGGCGGTAGATGCTGCGCAATTCCACCCTCACTCCAAAGTAATTCACGCGCAAGCCACCGTGCTTGCTTCAACTTGCTGTGGAGTACATGGTGAGCATCATCGGACACGACGGTCGAACTGTCACTGCACGTTACTAGCTGACGAGATATCTTGCTTCTTCATCGGAAGTCTTGTTGAATCACTATGTTTACTTTCGCTCATGGCCGTTAGGGCGTCTCTCATTTTTGTGCAATCCGAGCTCGTGCATGGTAGATGTTAAGCGACAACTTCGCGCATAGTAGCCACAACGTCACACCTCATGTCGGTCAGCCGGATCTTTGCGTGGTAGCTGTGCCACTGATGGGATCTGGCGTTGAGCTCCTCACGGCAGGCAAAAAATAAACACGTAGCTATCCTACCATAACGCCCTAGCGGTCGTGACGCGGAACGTGGCCAGCTTACGGGGCTTCTCGGCCGAATGGTTACGTTTATGGCCGTTATCAGTCTGTCTTTATTATAGGTTTGGCTGGAGACTGCTCTCAGCATTAGGCAGACGTCGACGGCTGTTGAGTTTCCCTCTGGTCTTGCTAACTTTTGTTCGTTTAATTTCGAATTCTGTTGCAGTACTGGTTGTCGTTGTTATTGCTGCTGCTGCTGCTGCTGCTGCTGCTGCTGCTGCTGCTGCTGCTGCTGCTGCTGCTGCTGCTGCTGCTGCTGCTGCTGCTGCTGCTGCTGCTGCTGCTGCTGCTGCTGCTGCTGCTGCTGCTGCTGCTGCTGCTGCTGCTGCTGCTGCTGCTGCTGCTGTAGTCGTCAACGACGCGGGTTTAAGCAGAGCGCACACTTTTGCTCCAAGCAAGACCTATATGCTATTTTCGCCTCCAGTAGCGCTCGGAAAACATAGCGGGGGTCATTCTATTTAAGCAGGCTCATTTCCAAACTGGTCGAACTCTTACAGACAAGTGGGCGGAAAGCGAACCTATTTATTTTTTTGCGCCCACCAGTCATATAAGGTTTCCTAGCGGCTTGCTGACGCAGTGGTCCGCGTTCGCTGGCTGTCCATTCATCTCCGACTTACTACTGCAGACATGGCCAAAAACGTCAAACCCGCAGTCGAACAACTCTCAGAATTTCAACATAACGCGGGCTTGCATATGACATAATGACATCATTAAAAATTCTGTCATTTTGGTCCCTCAGCGAAATTTTCAAATTACTCCAGGAACTTTGCTCACTGACCGGAAATGGTGGCCAATTTTGTCTGGTGGAACATTAAGCATTAAATGAAGGGCAGTGAAAGCACTTAGGACAAGTAGTCATGAAACGTTCGGATTCGGTGATTATCACAGGGACTTAGCAGTGGGAGCAGCCAGTCAAGGGAACGCTCGCTTGAGCGTTCGGCACGTAAACAATTGCACTGCTCGAATCAAAAACCAGTATTGAATAAGGGAAAGGGTACCGCCGCGATTGTCGGGGGACTGTGGGCAGAGGACTAGGGGTCAAGAAGCTCCCCATCCCCGTGTTGGTCACCTTGTGCGCTAATTTTAACCTCGTAAAGTTGTGGTCGAGGTCCCTCGCTTAATACACGGCCGAGGAGTTGGTGTAATTCGCCCTCACTACCGATTAGGGATTAGCCATTCGCTTTCTGACTGATCTTCTTATATCCTCAAAGTGTACCGTGTGCGGTAAATTCTAGGCGTTTCTCGCAGTGAGTTTTTGGTCATGTTAAAACAGGCATGCTGGTCGTCTCACATCACGCGATTATAATTCAGTCAATCGAGGAGTAATCCGTAAGAACGAATGCCAGTGGCACAATAGCCACCTATGACAGAAACATGATCCAGGCTCTAGTTGTGAACGACAGTTCATGTCAAATTTTCCCATCCCGAGAGAATAATAGACCAAACAGAGCATAATGCCATAATTCACGAAATGAATTCACTCGCTGGTCGAAAACGCTCATATGCATTCAAACGGTTGGCGGTAAGTAATTACATTTGTAAAAGTCTTCTGCGACAACAACTTCATAACGATGAGAAGACAATTGGCATTTATAAAAAGTAGTAAGTGCCGAGCTGAGAATGATGGCCGAGCGTAACTCGAACGCCTCTCTTCATGGGGTGCAGTGGGAGAAAATCAGCCCAGACGTCTGTTTCATAAAACCGGCTTGACGTCCTGCAACTAATTCAGTTATAATTCAGCAATAAGCTTTTTGGCAGTGTGATCAATAACTTATTACTTTGTGTGCATCTAGCCTTCATTGCATGTTGGCGGACCAATACTTCCGGGTTAATTGGCGCAAAGTGGTTTATGATCTATTTTCACGCCTGTCATCATATGGAGGAGTAGTAAAATTGCACCAAAACTCTTTACAATTCTGAAAGTGTTGTAGTTCGGAAGCCATTTCCACTTCATTCTTGACCACGCCTTGTATTTCCAATAACAACTCATTTAAACATAATGAAGGCAAATAGCATTTGGTTGTCCTCTTTTTGTTTGTGGCAAACAAGCGGTGACAAACTGAGTTGCTTTAAAGATTTTGAACATCATACTGACTTCCTTGGTCAGTGATGATTACGCCATAGTGTTATTTAGTTGATTCAGATGGAGCATCAACTAACCTTCCACTACACAATTTCTTCGGGGAGATTTGGTACCTGCCAATCGATTTTACAGAGGTGCCGTTGTTTTAGGGGGAAAATTAAGAATCAACGACCTCTCCAGTTTTTTTAACTTCTGCCATTTATGACTTTTGCATGTGAAACGTGTTTAAAAATGCTGCTCCGTGTGTTTATCTCTAGCTTGTTTGTATTACAACTTTGAAGCTCAGGTAAGCATCAGAGGTAGAATTATAAAGCAGTCCAGCAAGATCATCGTCAATATCATCTGTGCTAAAGATTTGGAGAACTTCAGAGCACATATTTAATTTCCAACTTTTAGCCTTGTTTTATCGGCTGGTTGCATTTTGTCTTAAACTAGCTCTAATTCCTGAACATCTGCCGAGTTGACTGGCCATTTGTTGTAGTTAGATTCGTGTAATCCTGTACACGAATGAACCCTTAAAATTATATTTTAGTACTGGCCACTGATGTCCGCCACCTGTACGGTACGCGTAGAGAGCTATAGACTACGAATTTAATAATCTATGTTTTTCCCTGAGCGCTTTCTCTTTCTGTATGTTCCCTGTTGTATTTATATATCAGAACGTCTGCCCTTCTCGACTGCTGGGGACGAAATGCATCGACTATCGATTTTTATTATTTTGTTATTAAATCTTTCTTTCGATGCGGTTTCAAATTTTCGACTCCGGAGAAATTCATTTCAAGATTTCGACTCACTAAAAGCTCTTAGAGCCAACGGAAATTAAGAATTAAATTTGACTCATCAATATCTTCTTCCCAACGAGTCTCCTGCACTACATTGGCAGAGCTCCGATTTTGCATCCTCGTTTCTACTATTTGCAAACCCAGAAGGACGGATTATTTGACGGACAATACATCTAAAGCTTCTATAAATGCTGAATTGCTCTTCTAAAAGTAGTCATTGTTTGCATAATCGTACTCAAAGTATTTGTTTAAATTTCTGCTTTTGGATGCTTCTTGAAAAGACTATTATCTGCAGCTTGTGTAGTTACTTTCTACCGAAAGAATGCTATACTCAAGGCACAATTCTTTGCAGGGAGGTTTATTCTTGGGGATATAGAAAAGAAGCCCATAATGTTTGAGTTTGCTCTCGTATTCCAACGTAACGCGCACTTCGGGTTTGATCCGGGGACCTCAAGAAAGAGAGCCTATTTCGCTAACCCCTGCGCCGCAGACAGGCTCGAAGAACCGTTCTAAAAGCTTTGCTACTTCGTCACAGCAGAGTTACGTAGGATATTCCTGTAATGGTTGTCAAACGATAACCTACCATAACCAGAGGAAGATGTTGAAAATCTGAAGGCGCTTATACGCAAGACTCTTTCTTCTGAAGACCGCCCAGTTGTATTTACGCAAAGGTCAACCCGGAGAAGAGCCAGGGTCATTCCGTGTAAGCAATCCCCAGGAGGGAATCATGCGGTGTATAAGACATTTGCTAACAGTAGTCAAGTAGCGGCTTTCGAAGAAAAAAAGAATAAAAAGAAGACGACACTTGAAACCACGATGAAAAGTCGACAGGATGCGAAAGGGAGTATATCAGTCTTGCCCGAAAAGCAGTCGCACGTACAAACAAAGGAAGTGGAAAGAATGGGCCAGATGACGCCCGACCTCAATAATCCAGAGAGAGCATGCCCTTTTCCGGAGCCTAAATTAAAGAGGATGCCAGCTAGCGCAAAGAAACATGGGCGTGGACCCAGGGTAGAATTAACTGCCATTACGAATTCCCGCGTCAACAGAGTTAAGGTCCGAGCTGAGGAAGCCTCTTATTCAGGGGGACAACTTATTCACAGAGCCCTATAAGGGGAGGCATTGTTGATCGACCACAGTGCGCAACCGTTCATGATGCCTCAGCAAGGACCGCAGGCGAACTGCACAGGGACAAATGCACCAGTGTCGCAGCCCCATCCTTCTTGCCAGTCCATCTCGACGAGGCCAAAGTACCAGCCGACAACGTCCAAACTACAGAAAACAAAGAAATGCTTAACAAGGACCACTACATCATCATTCAGGGCCTGTCTGGATCCCCTCCAGTACTCCCAGGGAACGCGTCTCTGCGGACTGAGAGCGATTCCAGAAACGCCTTAATGAAATGCCGCAGCCATCGGAAGACATAACTATCCTAAAGGCGCTTCCTCTGGGTAGCCACACAAATGCCACGCCACAGACTCGACTGCGACGCCTAAAAATCGTCCAAGTCTGCAAATGAGCAGGCGAAACTAATCCTATCCATGCGTTTTCGACTGAAGCATTCAAAAAAGGATTGTTTTTTCAGTCAGACTAGTCGTCTGCGATAGAATGAAACGCTGCGAACTTATCCTAGAATTGAGAACACGGCGAACCGACAGAGAACAGAACTTGGTAATCTACAAAACCGGATAGTAAAACGACATTCTGCTCCCTTCTAGATCAAGCCGATTCAAATGGCCGCACAGACACCCCAGTAGCCTGTGTTGGGGTTGAAAACAAATCTCGCATGAACTCGAAACCCATATTCATGCATACTAACGCGCAAAGTGTACTTTCAAAACTGGATGAACTCCGAATCCATATCTGTGACCTCCACCCAGACGTTATCTCCATAACAGAGACATGGCTGGCCGAACAGTTTGATGATAGGGAGCTTCCTAGATTTCAACTGTTCTACAGAGAGATAGAAAACATAACGGGTGGAGGCATAGCAACATTTGTTAAGGATGGCTTGTACGTTCCAGAAATACTGTTAAGCTGACTTGTAGTACGGACGCATTATGGCTGACCATAAGGGCATCGGGCTCTCAAAACCTCTATAGCTTGACAGTATATCATCCCCCAAAAAGTGAGTCTGAAGCTGATGCTCAACTGCTGGATGAGCTCAAATTATTTTTTACGCGGCTGAACATTCTCATCGTTGGGAACTTTAATGCTCCTCATATCGACCGTAGTTCGGCTTCCGACGACTGCCCTGAAACAGCATTTGATCAGCAACATCTGCGTACCACTGGCAATCTGCTTCTCATCCAACACGTGATGTTTCCGACGAGAAATCTTGAGAGCCAGCAAATGAGCTGCCTTGACCTTGTGTTCATCAAGTCGTCTGATAACATCAACGTTGCGAATTGTCGTCCCCCCATTAGGTTAGGGTGACCATGTGGTTCTCATGTGGGAATACGCCTTATTCCCCCTTGCGTGGGCAACCGCTCGATTCCTGACCCAATATTCGGTACGACGATTTCGAACAGATGAAAAAGGATCTTCGTCCTATCGACTGGGAATCCACACTCTTCGGCAACATCGAAGAAATTTGGAGTCAGTTGAAAGAGGTAGTCCGCAGCCTCATCTCCAAACACTACTCAATTAGGCACATAAGACCATCGAATAGACCCCGGTGGTTGGCTCTGTCCTCAAGAAAAGGAAGTTACCAAGAAGATCTCCATTGGCCGGACGCCTGAATCCCTAAACACTGATAAATTACAGGGAAAGTGGGTCAAAATTCTCATCGCCAGAGTTCCGCAAGTCTTCGAAAAAGATCTTTTGAGCCGTGCCGCATGGTTAATCCTAAAGCCCTTTAGGCAGAGCACGCGGAGCAAAAGATCCCATTCCACTGCCGCAAAAGGTCAAGGGTGCGGAAATCTCAAATTACAAGGATAAAGCTGAACATCTCTCTCAGTTCTTCCGGTTCGTCGTGATGAGTGAAATCGATTTTTTCCCACCCCCTGGTGAATACGAATAAACGCCAACCATCGAAACAGTCTTCACGGAAGCAGTCGATCGTCCTTACAAAAGACCCGATTAGCCCTGGCGAACTTAGGTCCATAACACCGCTCGGTAAGAGTGACCATGTCATGCTGTTTTGGGAATACCGCCTATGCAGCCAACAAGCGAATACGACTGAGCCTAGACTGAATTTCTGGCGAGGAGATTTTGCCGCCATGAGAAGGGAATTATCGGCAGTGGACTGGGATTACTTTCTTTCCGGACATCCAGACGTTGATTGGAACACTCTCAAAGGAGTTGTAACAGACATCGTGCATCGAAACTGTCCGACAAAGAGAGTCAAAAAGAATAATCTTCCTGCCTGGATAACGCGGGATATAAAGAAAGAAGTAAACCGAAAAAACAAACTATGGAGAAGGTATGCAACAACAAAACAACCATCCCATTACGAGCAATTTCGTCGAAAGCGAAACGAGGTAAGGGGGGCTATCCGCAGGTCGCGGAAGGAGTATGAAATGCGAGTTATGGAACGGGCCGTCGATAAGCCAAAAGTGCCCTTCAGCTACATAAACAGTAGGTTAAAGAACAAGGAGACGGTCGCAGTGTTTAAAGGAGAAAACAATGAGGATATCATCGAAAATGACGCTAAGGCAGAAAATCTAAGCCGGTTTTTCGTATCGGTTTTCACCGATGAAACGGACTTTGACGAGGCTGGATCTCCTGCTGGGACAACCGACGAAATAATAGAAAGCATCGACTTCACGGAAGAAGATGTGAGGAAGGAACTTCTAGCGCTTAAGGAGGCCAAGTCTCCGGTCCCAGACTAAATTCCGGCAAAAGTGCTGAAGGAGTTTACTTGCGAACTCGCCAAACCGCTTTGGCACATCTTTAGGTCGTCCTTTGACCGAGGCATTCTCCCCTCTGATAGGAAAGTGGCGAACATATACCCCATTCACGAGGGTGGATCCAGAACAAGTACAAACAATTATCGGCCGGTGAGTCTAACATGCATTTGTTGCAAAGTCATGGAGAGAATAGTCAAAAAATCCATAATTAAGTTCCTTGAAGAAAATAATTTCTTTGCTAATTCTCAGCATGGCTTTCGACGCAATCACTCCTGCCTAACTAATATGCTTTATTCAACGGAACAATGGTCTCACTCGTTAGACGCAGGAACAAAGGTCGATATCGTTTACATAGATTTCAAGAAAGCCTTTGATAGTGTTCCACACCACCGGTTACTTTACAAGGTCCGAGAGTCAGGGATAACGGGAAACCTATTAAACTGGGTAAAGGACTTTCTGACTGTTCGATCACAGTCTGTGTGTATTGGTAGTGCGAAGTCATCGCCAGTGCCAGTCGTGAGTGCAGTTCCCCAGGGCTCTGTACTCGGACCAGTACTATTTTTAATTTATGTCAACGACTGTATGAATGGACTGGACTGCAATGGAGTCATGTTTGCTGATGACATCAAGTTATGGCGAGCGATCAACGGCGAACATGATGAACGGGCCCTGCAAGAAGGACTGAACCGCCTATGCGAATGGTCTGACAAATGGCTGCTAAAGTTTAACCTAGAGAAGTGCGTCGCGCTGCGACTCAAAACGACTGGAAGATCTGACGGAGAGGATCACCATTACCAACTTGGTGGAAGGTGCCTTTCAAATGTAACCGAACAAAAAGATCTTTGGATTAACATTCTGTCGACCCTTAAGCCTTCATCTCAGTGTGTTAGGGCGTCCAAAAAGGCAACTAGTGTTCTCTTTGCTATTAAACGATCTGTCGTGGACATAGACGAAGAGTTATTTCGAAAAGTTTACGGAGCGTTCGTTCGCTCGCATCTGGAATATGGAATCCAAGCGTGGCACCCGTGGCTAAAAATAGACAATAATTTGCTAGAAAGAGTTCAGAGGAGAGCAACAAAAATTGTAAAAGGCCTCAGGACTTTACCTTACAACTGCCGACTTAGGGAACTTAAACTTTTTCCTCTTGAGTACAGGCAGGTTCGAGGAGATCTCATACAGGCCTATCGGATATTGAGGAACCGGGAATGTGCCCTAAACCCTGACGATTTCTTCGCCCTGGCCACAACAATAAACCTGCGTGGGAACTCTCTAAAACTTAGAGGATCCCGATGCCGCCTGGACGTTCGCAAATACTGTTTTTCACAGCGAGTCGTCGGTGCCTGGAACGGGCTCCCCGAGGACGTAATAATGGCGGATACCACAGAGACGTTCAAGCAAAGACTCGATGCATATTTGCTTGGACACTATCGCTTGTCTGGACAGAACAGCTCTGTGGTGCTAAACCAACGCCTTGCATACTCATACCGCTAATGGGGATGACTGTCATTACATTTTACTGAAATCATCTACAACTGAATTTTCTCAAGTTCTGGTTCTACATTCCCACGAAAATATTATGCTAAATGTATATATTACTGACACCATTTCAGTACCATGTTATTTAAAGTGAAATATTGCATGTACCGTTTACAATAGGGTTTTCAAAGGCATTGCCTATTGCTCTTAAAATATACAGACCTAGACTGACCTAATTGCTAAACCTGAAGGAATCGACCTCCCCAGGCCCTGAGGCAATCCAGCCCAAGCTGCTGAAGGAGTTAGCATCCCGAAGTGTCCAAACCGTTAGCCTTGCTCTTTAAAACGTCATTTGCTACTGGGTGTCTACCCTCCGATTGGAAGTCCACCACCATCATTCCGCCTTTTAAGGGTGGAAGTCGTGCGTTTGTGAATAACTACAGGCCAGTTAGTCTTAGCGCCATCTGTTGCAAAATCATGGAGAAAATCATTGAGAAAACGTTGATGCGGTTCCTTGAGCAGAATTACCTCGTCTCCGATGCCCAATAAGCTTTTGCGGTGCGTGCTACCACGACCCGGTCCGCAACGTACACTTGACCAGGATTTTTCACCAAAACCAACAACAACAACAGCAGCAGCAGCAACAACAACAGCAACAACAACAACGCCCAAACAGGTGCCAGAGCAACGAGGATAATTGGGCAGCCATGCCCACCACCTGTTACCATAGCGGGAGCGCAAGCGCATCTGCCTACAAGGAACCAGGTGTCATGGAACTGCCAGCGCATACCAGGCTGCGAGGGCCATGATTTGCTGATACTGCCATAGCACACACTTGCAGACCTTTTGACCAGGGGCTCTAATACACACAGTGACACGCGCATACGCGCTAGCGTCAGCACGACCACGCACACACACTGTGATCAGCAACAGCAGCAACCCCAACACGCACACACGGAATGATTACTGCCACTAGTTTACCCTTCCAGGACGGTGTGAGCAACATGAATTTTGTGTCAAGGTGCAATTTTTGAATAACAACAAAATTACTACCTATATATGTTAGTAACGATATTTTTTGTTCCTGAACAAATCGGTCATCCAGCACGAGATGAGGCGAGACTTAGTAACCGTGCTGGGGTTCTTACGGATACTTTTCTCATACTTGTAGGTACGTCTCATTATTAATAGTCCACTGAACATATCGTCAAAAATCCGCTTGTCCAGCTGGAGTTTGTTAATAAGTAGACTAATGTTCAGCGCCTTCAAAGTCATATGTCCCTAAGAGCAGTGTAGAACACATTGAGTCTAATAATGAACTACGTTCGCATGCGTGATAAACCTTCTATGTCAGCCGGGATGCCTTTTTAACTGACCCTTAACTTAGCTATGAAAAACATACAGAAAGCGTCAGACTAAACTGCCTTTGGCGAGTAAACCAGAGTTCTTATTGTGTAGAAAAAATTTCTCTGTAGACTTCAATATGGCATTAAATTCAATGTTTTGTTTTTCGTGATCCATATGTGTATACAGCCTGCGATGCATTGAACATCTCTTATTTTGCTCAGTCGTCCATAGTGCACGTGTTTCATAGCTGTCTTATGGTTTGTATTTGCGTGATTTTTTCTGCAGTCTTTACCCGGTAACACTATAAACAAGCTATCTCCTTACCGGCTTGTTTTAAAATGTGGACTCTACCACCGAAGTTCCAAGTGGGAAAACGACCTGCAGTCGTACCAGTGGAAGGCGAATATTATAGACTTATCTGAATGCTTGACGCGCACTTTACCAGGTGATACTGAGGGCACATGAGTCATATTTTTTAGCTAATCTGTATTGTGAGCAAATTAGGCACCAAGTACTCACTCTGAACTAATTTGGTGCACTGGACTGTAGCAAAACTTTACTGGAGAACATTTTATACAAAAATTCCTTTATTGCCTTCTTGTGATAATGGCATAAACATGAAAAGATTTTAGACATTTTAAGTCGAGCAAAGACAGTAGAATTTACTTTCCCCGAAGAGATAGTGGTGCTGCTTCCCAAATGTTTCCACCGCATTACAAAAAGTAAGGAGTTACTTGTATTCTAAAATTAAATTTACAACAGAACTAAAGCAGCCCAAGAATGTCGGCGCCGGATATCTTTACCCATAGACAGGAAGGCGTGCAAATCGGATGAGTAGTCTTTCCTAACAGGCGAAAAGGCGAGTCGCAGGAAGCAGTCGAAAAAGTAGGCAGGATCGATGGGATAAGAGCTTTATTTGCCTGACGTTTCGGATTCCTACTCGAATCCATCACCAAAGACAAAAGCAGATACAGAAGAAGCATATGTCCACGATTAATGAGCTCTGGACTGATGCAGTGTGGCCGAATCCCCATCTGAACCATTTCCGTGGCAGCAAGGTAAACGTGCTCTCATGAAACATCGGACGCGGAATTTACCAGCCTAATGCAATTCTGGTTAAGCACACCATGCCGGTCGGTTTTATTCTAAACATACAAGTCAATGAAAAAAGTTACAAAACACGGTTCAAGGAAAATCAGATAACACTTAGTTACACACAGATGAAAACATTACTTCGAACCAGGCCCAACATGGAGTATATTTCAAAATTTAACGGGTTTAAAATTCAACTCAAATCCCAGCAGTCAATCCTGCGGAAAGCATACGGGGGTAGGTTAAGAGGCCTGCTTAGACAATGCAGGATCTGTTTATGAATTTGCATGTGCATGTGAATGCAAGTATTTTTGTGCGGACGCAAAGACAACCATCAGTCAGATATGTTGGGCAATTGTGGAAATGACATTTACGGTCAGAAAACAACACTCGCTTCATTCTATAGCGAGCCTATTTTTGTAATTCTTGTACTTCGTTGGCTGAAGGCGAGCCTTTCGCCTCCTCACTCGTGCACGAGGGTTTCAAACTCTATGCTAACTGAGGACAGAATACAGAGGATTGGGAAAACCTCAATTCTGTGGTCCACCGAATTATTCAGTAAGCCTGACCTTGCCATAGCCACCCATAAATATACAAGTTGAACGCTCCTAGTTGTATTACTGCACTTTTCAAGGTAACAATCGGGAGATGGCACCCAAAAATCCGTTACCTATAAATAATACCTTTAGCAGTGAAAGCAAACGCCTTCAGGCTATATCAGCTGTTGCAGGCCTACTTTTACGCACTACTTGGACTTTCTCCGACGGCCTAACATGGGCTGGCCGAACGAACATCGCAGGTTACATGGACGATCGTCGCTGCTACCCAACCTTCCCATCTTTACACACGAACACCTGAATATACGGTATACATTCGCATGATGGCAGTTTACTACAAAACAAAATCACTTTTAAAAAGGTTAAGTCTGCATAACATGGGACAGGAACAGTTCCCAGGCATCTGTCAAAAACATGGCATTGAGGCCGAACCAAAGACGATACTGTACTTCGTCTATGTAAACCCACACAGCTCGACCACATACAGGGCCTCCCTCGTGGAGTTTCCTTTTCAGTCTACTTCAGTATGCCTCAACGACATTGATGTGCCGTCCGGTGGTAGGATCTTTTAAGTTCTTTGAATGGTTAATAGAGAAATGTAGATAACCTTCTGAGGGAAGACGATTATACGCCTTCCACTCGTCCGTTACCACTATGCTGTCTTTGGCGACCCATTTTGTAATAACGGAACGGAGAGCGGACCAACTTCGATCATTCACCTGTTCAAATAAGGCTTTCAGTCGGCTAGTATCGTACATGCCGACCAGCCACCACCCACTAAACCCCTATTACCACCTGTCCCGTAAGACAGGCTGCTTTGGTTAGGCGGATTTTTTGGGTGCCATCTCCCGATTGTTACCTTTTCCCAGATTGCTGTAGCTGTCTCAGGAGAGAGTTCTCAGGTGTACTCTCTGTTCTAGACAACAAACTTGCCTATTTATATCAACTTATGCGTATCACACGGTATTCGTGTTATGAAGGGACAGTTGCCATCTGTAAAACAACAGTGAAGTATGCTGGTACCAACAAATTTCTTCGTTTGCTGTTGTCCAAATTTACGTTGAAGACAATTGCCTTAGAAAATGTCTGATCACGCACATGCCGATCGAGCTAATTTCCACACAAAGCCGTGGAACGCTTCGTAGAATTAACCCGTTTCAATTAGTAGGTTGCCAAACATTCTTACGCTCATATGTCCGCTAGAATATCGGAAACTGTAGTCATGACATAAGATCGCACCACTGCAGGAATGACTTTAATGTACTGATGACGACGACGGGCGCAAGCATCGACGTCAGCGCTGCCCTTTGAGGTGGGCCCATCAGAAGTGACTTAGACGTGTATTAGCTCATAGTGCGATAGACTTGCGCATAGTGGAACACACTTCCTAACCCTACACCCAGTGGGTTTTGATAGGAAGACAAAGTCAAGACAACCGAAGGTGGCCGTGGGCGCAATGGCTATGAAAGCAGAATGTCATTACCGACAAAGAAAAGGGAGAATGGAATGGCTATTTCTGGCTTATTAGCCAGTCATACGAAACATCGAAGTATGGAACACCTGGGGCTCGAACTCGCAACCTACGATAGTTCGACCATCGATTTCGATGATATCCACCGTGTGCCCCACAGCAGCAGCGGTGGGAGCAGGGACGGTGACTTGTGCAGGGGTTTATCGTGCCGGTAGACTTACGCTACATTTACCTACACTCTCTCCTCCTCCCTCGCCCGAGCCCGGTGTCAAAACAGAGTCAAGAAGACCGGAGACGAGGGAGGCCGCAGGTGGATGGCTCGGACGGATCCACACTTTGGCGTTCCACCACAACCCCTGGTCCACACAAGAAATAACCAGGATTTCAACCAACCAAACACAGATTAGAGGCTGGCGCGGCCGGAACAGCACCTAGGCGTGTCGCCGACGCCTGGCTCGAATCCCACACAGTGGTGGGAGTGCCATAAAGGCCACATTAAGAAGGAGCCATTGCAGCCTGACTCTCAGACCTCCACCAGTCGAGGAGGAGGTCCAAGTTATCCCGTCAGTTGGCCACCTTCCAAGCCACGGCTTTTAGCGCACCGTGATAGCATCAAGCGCGTCAGATTGTTTATAGTGAGGAAAATGCGCTGAGTCGTCGACCTCACTCTCCCTTCCCATTCCCACACCCCAGCCGCTGTCGGGGCCAGTTAGCAGACTGGAGTGGAAAATAGGCGTGATGGCTGGCATGGTCGACTGACCATGACTGCGCGCGCCACGTGCACGACCTGGCCCCCCATACAGACACACCAGGCTTTCGCACAACGGGGGTTGAACGGCGTGTCTCTCACTTGCGTGAGAGACTCGTGGTAGGTGCTGTTTCAGCCCGTCCTCAGTCCACCGGTCCGCCACTCCCCACAACACACACACACACACACACACACACACACACACAACGGGACGAACTGCGAGGACCGAGTGGGGGCGTCAATCAGCAACCTTCCTATCCACGACGCTTGGCGTGTCGGGATAGTCTCCAACTCAAGTCACCCGTGCAGCCGAAGCCGCATGAGGACCGAGTCGAGATGCACACTTCCGACTTGTGTGGGAGGTGGCAGTTGGGTGCTTGTGGTGGGTGAGTGTTGATGTTTGGTGGGGTGGTGGTGGTGGTGGTGGT